AGCAGTGTTGGGGCAGTGAGGGTGGGAGGGCAGTGCTGGGGCAGTGTTGGGACAGTGTGGGTGGGAGGGCAGTGAGGTTGGGAGGGCAATGTTGGGGCAGTGTATGTAGGTGGACAGTGAGGGTGGGAGGACAGTGTTGTGGCAGTGAGGGTGGGAGGGCAGTGTTGTGGCAGTGAGGGTGGGTGGGCAGTGCTGGGGCAGTGAGGGTGGGTGGGCAGTGCTGGGGCAGTGAGCAGTGCTGGGCAGGGAGGGTGAGTGGGCAGTGCTGGGCAGTGAGGGTGGGTGGGCAGTGCTGGGGACACTAAAATACCTTTTTAAATTAATATAATTCCCTGGTGGTCCAGTGGCAGCAGTCCCTGGTGGTCCGGTGGGATGACTTCCGCGGAGCTGCAGACCTTGTTTTCGTGAGAGCCTGTCAGAGCGTTGCCGTGGTAACCTGCGGCAACGCTCTGTGTGCTCGCGAGAAGCACATTACATGATCTGCAGCTCTGCACTCGGCGGAGCTGCAGATCAGCGGCCGGCTCTTCGTGTGGCCAGACCATGTGGAGGGGCCACCCGGCGGCATACTGGGCAAGCCGCCGGGCCCCCTCTCACTGTCATTGACCGAGCACCTGACAGTTCAGTCTGCCATAAGGCGATTTAGGCGGCCGCGAGGCCCCAGCAAGTGCAAGGCCTTAGGCGGCCGCCTAAATCGCCTAATTAGAGAGCCGCCTCTGTGTGTGTGTCAGTAAGTATGCCTATATGCGTGTATGTCTGTTTCAGTATGTGTATCTGTTAGTGTGAATCTGTGTGTGTGTATCTGTGTCCTTTTGTGTCAGTGTGTGTTTTTGTGTCTGTGTATGTATTCCTGTGGGTGGGATTTAGAGGCGGACCCTGTGGGCGGGTTTGGAGGCGGGCCCCAGACCCTGAGCTGAGTTAAGGGCCCCAAAATTTCTGGTGGCGGCCCTGACCATGATATCCAGTCTGCAGCTCTGCCGGATACAGAGAATGTATCTCGTGAGACCCGGTCAGAGTGTTGCTGTGGTAACCCACAGCAACATTCTGATTAGCCAGAATTTGCAAGATACATGGTGTGCAGCTCTACACCTGGCGGAGCTGCAGACCGGCGGCCATGGGCACTCTCCTCCCGGGCAGACTGGAGGGGCTTCTCACCTGAGAACCTGACAGAGTCTGTCCTATGGTGAGTTAGGCGGCCGCGAGACCCCAGTCAGCCCAGGTTTTACTTATCTTTCTCCTGTGTAGAGGCACACTCTGTGCTTCTTACCTCTCCCTCTCCCACAATGTCATGGAGGACGCATATCATAAAAGAGCATTTGGGACCTGATGCACATGTGCGGCGAGCGCCACGGGCATCCAAAGTTGCCCATAGGAAATCATTGAATCAGTGCTTTCCTATGGGGGCTTCTATATCAAGTGACTGGGTATTACAAGCAGTTGCAGCAGAAATGCCTCCAGTGGCTGTCAGTGTAAGCACTACAGTTTCTGCAAAATAATTTAACCTTGAATGGTTAATTTGACAGGGCTGCTGCACACAGGCCACTTCAGTGAGGTGAAGTGGCCAGGGTGACTTAATGGTCATTTAAGTACATGAAACTGATTTTTTTTTTGTCCTTTGTATGATCAAAGTAGCCAAAGGCAGAGCCCCAGCTCTTGTAAAACTATAACTCCCATTATGCCATGCCATCCTTAATGCTAGCAAATCGTCAGTGTTAGCCACCAGTATTATTCTTTGCAGAGTGATTTGGCACTTCTTTCTGCATGGCCAACTTAGCTGGCCAGATTGGCTGACACTCCCATTTTCAGGTGACCAGAGTCACAGGCAGTCAGTCACACACACACTCACAGGCACACTGTCACACACAGACAATCACAGGCAGACAGACAGACACACACACATAGTCACATGCAGACAGTCACACACACACACAAACACTCACAGGCACACTGTAACACACTGACAGTCACAGGCAGACAATCACTCACACACAGTCACAGGCAGACAGTCACACACAATCACAGACAGACAGTGACACACACACAGACACACACAAGCACAGTTACAGGCAGGCAGTCACACATAGAGTCACAGGCAGTCACATACACACACACGCACACACAGGCAGACAGTCATACACACAAATTCACAGGCAGACAGTCAACACACACACACATACACACACACACTCTCTTGCTTAGTTACAGACCTTATGGGCTGGAGGAGTCGTGCCTGGAGCAGGGTCAGACTGGGAATTCAAAGCAGCCCTGGGAAAAAAAATGTATGCCAGCCCCATAAGTCCTTGTGCCACGTAATGTGTATGTGTATATATATATATATATATATATATATATATATTACACACATACATATATATACAGTTCAATCTTGCCTTGCACTTCTCCTTTAATATAACCACTGTTTTAATACTGGGTGCTAGACTTTGGTCAGAGGCGGCTCTCTAATTAGGCGATTTAGGCGGCCGCCTAAGGCCTCGTGCTGCCTGAGGGCAGACTATGTCAGGTCCTTGGTCAGTGACCGAGGACCCGACACTAGGAGGGGGCCCATCGGCATGCTCTGTATGCCGCCAGATGCGAGGCCCCTCCAGTCTGCCCGGCTGCAATGTGCAGAGCTGCAGACCATGTGTCTCGCAAGATCTGGCCAATCAGAGCGTTGCAGCTGGTTACCACGGTAATGATCTGACTGGATCTCTGCTGAGCTGCAGACCGGATATTATGGCCACCAGACCACCAGGGAGCTAAAAAAAGGTATTTAATCCCTTAGCATTTTCAGATCTCTTCCTGCAGCAAGGTTGAGTGCTGCTTGAGTGCAGGGCTTACGTGCAGAGGCGGGGCTTCTGAACAGGGGCGGAGCTTACACACGGGGCAGAGCTTACATGCTGGGCCGGGGCATAAGTGCTAAGGAAGGTGCTGAGAATCAGGAAGGGAGACTCAGTGCTCCCTCTGGCCCCTTAGCAGCCTTAATGCGGCCACACCAACCCCCAGCACCTACCTCCTAAATTCCCTTGGACTGACAGAAGCTGTCACAGTCCGAGGGAAAAATTATTTAAATAAAACTTTAAGGCTTCCTGCCAGCCCAAGGTGCCGCAGCCCACCGGGAAAATTCCCGGTGGACCAATCCGGCCCTGCCCTGGAGTCTGTTAGTTGGGGAAGCAGGGACTCCATCCTGCTTCCCCTCGATGTGCAGCAGTAACAGCAGCGGGTGGAGGCAGTATTTAGCTATACCCCTGCTGTCGATTAGCTCTGCCACCGTTTTTCTTAGATGTGGCCGGTTTTCAAGTCCTGCGGCTGCCTGTCCCTGCGTGTGTGAGCTGTGTCGGCTGCCATGGCGACATGAGCGGCCGCACAGCTCACACATCCTAAGGCCGCCCTAGTGATTGGTACCCGGGTCAGACCGCCCCCCCTTGGTATGCCAACTGCCAGGCCTTAAAACAATAATTAACAGGGAGTCAAGATGGAGGTGCTCAACTCAAGGACAGAGCAGTGTGGATTTCTATATTTAATTTATTTTTCATTTGTCACAAACACATAAATGTAGGAGATAAGGAAACACATTATTAAAAAACCTTGGAATGCGGAAATAGTATCATATAGGCTAATTCCTTTTAGTCCATAAATGTTGCTACTAGATATTCTTAATACTGATTTAGATTCTTCTAAGAGTAATCTTATACGACATGTTATGTTAGCTATGAAATCATACATCGCTAAACTATGGAGGAATACTGAACTCCCTATGTTTCCTTAAATAATCTAGTTACTTAATATGAACAAAACCTGTCATAGGAAAGCTGAATAAAAATTAACTAACTCTGGGGAAAATGGCTGACTCTGTCAATTTTTACTATCTATTACCAAATCTATCTAGTCCCCCAGGTAGATTGGTGGCTTCACAAATTTGTTTTCAATTTAACGTTTTAAGGTGTTTTATTTCCTTTTGTTATTTTATTTTGGTCTCTCCCAGATTTTGTATGTGTTTATTAAAAAAATAACGAGAATGCCAGTACCCTTTTAAAATAAATAATACATATCACTGTCTATTCTCGGTTAACACCCCAAAAACATGTCCCGATTATTACCCTGATCTCACGTTACATCATGGTGGACTTGGGTATACATGACAATGTATTTTCCTAGAGTGCAAAGTCAGCACGTAATGTAAACCCTCTATATCTCCATTTAAATTGCTTTGTCTATGTTACTGCTTGGAGTTATTACAGTAATGCTCCATTGACTGTACTTGTTGTTAGGTTTCTTTTATAGAAGTGCACTTTATAATTCAATATTGCATACACTTATACAATACATACAACTGACATAATACTTCTGTGTATTGTGGAGTGCTTTTAACCCATTTCTTGATATCACTAGCATACCATTTCTTAGATTCTCATTCAGCTCTGTATATAGAATTTATTTTTCTGTCTCCACCCTATCTCTCTGGATCTGTAGCTCTCCTCTAACCCTTTCTCTATCTCTCAAATGCCCCGCTCCCTTGCCTAAAGCCCTGCTGCTGCAGAGAACATTTTCAGTCTGCTGGATGTATCCCTGTCACACCCCACTCTCCCCTCCATACACCTCCTCCCTCCCCCCCACCCTTCCAATATCTCTGGGGAATGTGTGGTGTTCCTAGGGAAGGAGCAGAAAGGAGAGAAAAGGGATGGTGGAGGGGAGACTGTGTGTACATGTGTGGGGGAGGGATACATCACTGGAGAGAGACACTTATTTGGGCCCCAGGGGTAAACTGATATAGAGGGCAGATAGAAATGCCTCTTGTCCCTTAATGAAGCACCTCTCATGTGCCAACATTTCCCTAATTTGGTTAATTTCTACTGTCTAATTATCCATTTCTCTCTGGAAACCTGTAGGTAGTCATCTAACCTGGTGGAGTCCTGCAGAGCATTGCCAAACTCCTCCATTCTAGAACTCTGCAGACCAGTTGTAGACAAGTGGTTTCTTAGAACATGTGACCTTTGGAGCTTTGAATTGAATCTTATTTAAACTAGCTGCCCAGAACAGAGGCAAAAGGTTATAATTAATTTGTGAGTTTTGAACAACTGGATTTTGATTAGATTGATGAACCACGTTAATGATGAACACTTAGAGAATATTAAATCTACAGTGGTATGTTGATTTGCAGTCCCTTTATTGTTTATTAACAAACCTAGTTAAATGTTGGCTATATATATCCTAGACATATAGGTTTGTCAAGGCATCTTTTTAAAGTGGGAAAATGATATGTACAGTGCTACGGAATTTGCTGGCACTACATAAATAATAAGATAATAATAATATGCACTTGCAAATAGAGAACACAATTAGCACAACTAGGGAGTTAAAGGCTCTCTGAGGGCCCAGTGGTGTATTCCCGTCTGTCTGTTTCCTTCCTCTGCTGATCATTATTTCATAACCGTTTACTTTGAAATATTTCTTGATCCTTTGTCTGCCTGGCCCATGCATAGCATTTTCTGATTTCACAGGCCAGCTTTGCACAGTGTGGCCTAACCCATTCCTTTCCAGAGTGCAGTACTGTATCACACCAATTCATCACTCTTCTGCTGTAACACTGCATGCACGGTGTTGCTTATAAGCAATCATAGAACTGCAGCATTGCTTAACCCCTAGACTGCCACAGTCCTGCAGAGTTATGCTGGGCCTTCATACCTCAGCTCCACTTCACTCCCACTGATTCTATTAACCACAGCTCCTCCCACCCTTTCTCTTGACTCTTCCATCTTTTTTTATTCTGTTTTTCCATCAGTCTCCCACTCTCCATCTATCCTATCATATCATACCCTTTGTTTGTATATACATTTGAATCACCTATTTTTGTCTTCCTCCTTCCTGTGGCTCCCCCACCCCCTTCGTTATCTGTCATCCATGTCTGGCAGTTGGTAGCAGTCTGTGTCTTGGTTTCAGTTATGCCTGTATATACTGTACCAATTAAAAGTGTGTGTAATTTGCCTCTGTCTCCAGTGAAAACACTTTTTTTTTTCTCCCTTCACCCACTAACTGTCTTGCCATTACGCACTCCTTGCTTGTCCAGCCCACTCTCTGAATTCAAATCACCCAGTGTTACTCCATCATATATTATTTCCCCTTCCCATTACCCACACTCAAATTAGCCTTGCTCATTCTTTCTCCCCATTATACACTTTGTTTACTGCACCCACTCTGTTTCTTCATCATCCAATATAATTTTTCTTTCATCTTCCCATTACCCTTTTCACAGCCCATATTACTCCATCGCTGATTCTTTCATCTCTTCGTAATCCACCCCCTTTACAGCAACGTGCACCCTCTGTCATTCCATCCTCTCTCTTTCATATTCAAATCATACATTCACAATTTACCCCTACACAATCTGTTTTCTGTCTTCACATACTATTTACCTGCACTCTGCTAACCTGTCACTCACTCTATTTTTTAGGGAAGGATGACCACTTCATTTTACGTAAGACCATGGGGTCTTAATACCCTGTGTAGCGGACCACGGGTAACCCGACCGGTTACCTCCGCTAATTCCTTCCTTCAGCCACTCTGGAACCATTAAAGCATACAGGCATTCATTCCAGCAGTAACCAGACGAAACATAGTTTTGGGAGTCAGCTGAGGTTTTTTTGGAACACACACGGCTTTTATGCACAGACCCCTATATGGGGTCCCCCATGCAATAATACAGGGCTTTTCCTCCCATGATCCACTACAGAAAAAAAATGCAGTATTCTAAAACACTCCAAAAATACATTTTCAAAAGGGGCTAATTTGATGGCATGGGCGGTCAGAGCTTACGACCCAAATTCCTCTTTGAAGGTGGGACCCCCACAGGTCTACTCTACAAGGTGTGAAAAGTCACACATATGTGGCCTGGAAGTCTGGTTTCTGTACAAACTAACTCTCACATCTGCCATATGTTTTGATTCCCCTCTTAGATAAGGAGTCCTTTGATCTGAGCAAGCCTTGCATTTCAATATCATAGCCAAAAGATTTCATTCATGAAACTGAATAAAAGTTTAAAGGAACACTATAGGGTCAGGAACACAAACATGTATTCCTGACCCTATAGTGCTAAACCCACTATTTAGGTGGTTGTCTAGCCTACCTTTAGCCCCCTCAGAATGCTTTAAAACTCACCTTATTTCCAGCTCTCCACGGGTCTTTTGGCGCAGGCCCTGCCCCCTTGGTGACATAATCAAAATTGCTGATATTTAGCCAATCCAATGCTTTCCAGTGGCCACTTGGAGGTGTCCCTAGAGCTAATTTCTCTGAAAAGGCAGTGTTTGCATAAAAATGCCTGAAGGGAGCTATTATATTCACCAGAACAACTACATTAAGCTGTAGTTGTTCTGGTGACTATAGTGTCCCTTTAACTTTGGTGATTTGTTGAAAACAATAAGCAGGCAAGCAAGTGGGCACATGTGGGCATGGTACTCAGTGTCAGCGTTCCGTCACACCCTGCAACCTTTCTTCTTTTAATGTTTATTTCTAGAGATAATTACAGTATTTGTTTTTCTTTGTGTAGGCCTGTCTCTCTGGGCTGTTAAACACCCTGCTGAAATTCTCTCTTCGTATCTGGCAAAATCAGGTTTGAGCAACTTTTGTGTTTGGTGTCATCACGCAGAGCATGCCAACTCCAGACGCTGGGAATGGACTATCCTGGCTAGGTGAATTCACAATCTTGTCTGTTAAAAGAAGTCACAAGCTGTTGTTATTAACAACAGCTGGTAGCTTGTAGCGACTACAAATTACCACCAGGTTTACAACCTTGTTGGTAAATGTTTGTAGACTATTGCTAATAACATCTGCTGCCACGGGTATAAATCACTCACATGATAGCGGCTTACTGGTAAGGCACAGAAACTTACATCTGAGCTTGCGCACTTGAACCTGGGTGGCAAGTAGCAACAGGCAAGTATTAGCTGCATAGTAAAAATTTGTAACAGTGTTGTAACACAACATTTATTTTCAAAATAATGTTGACTTTATTTTGAGGACTGCAGAGGACTTTAGCTGTCTATCTCTTTACACCAGACCAGAGGCTGGTGTTAAGTTTTTTAGTTTAGAAGCAGCCGGTAATTAGTAAAGACAGCGTTGTAAACCAGTCAGAGCCCGGTCACTGAGTAGAGGGTAGAGGCTTCCATAGAGAATAATAGATCTAAGAGAATGTGATTCATCAGACCAAGCACTCTTCTTTCATTGCTCCATGGTCCAGTTCTGATGCTCACAGCACCATTGAAGGTGCTGTTGGCAGTGCACAGGAGTCATTATGGGTACTATGCAATCTGAAATGCTCTGTGTGTTCTGTGTGTTCTTTCCATCATGGCCAGCATTACGTTTTCCAGCAAATCCGTTGTACAGCGCTACAGAATTTGCTGATGCTATATAAATAATAAAATATTGATAATAATTTTATCTACAGTAACTCTTCTGTGTGATTGGAGCAGACAGGCTAGCCTCCGCTCCCACACGCATCACTGAGCTTTTGGCTCCCGTGATGCTGGTTCACCCGTTGTCCATCCTTGCACCATATTTGGCAGGTACTATCCATAACAGGAAAACCTTACAAGACTTGCCATTTTGGAGATGCCCTGACCCAGTCATCTAGCTATCACTATCTGGCCCTTGTCAAAGTCACTCAGATCTTTTCGGTTGCCCATTTGTCCTGCTTCCAACACATGCAATACAAGAGCTGACTGTTCACTTGCTGCCTAATATATCCCACCTCTTGACAGATGCCATTGTAACAATATAATCTGAATGTTATTCACTTCAACTGTCAGTGGGTTTAATGTTGTGGCTGATCAGTATACGTATGCAGTTTCATTCTATTTAAACAAATTATTGATGGGTTTCCGATCTTGCAACTAAAAGGTAGTAGTCATGTGTATATTGTAATGGATAGAACTTTCTCTTGAACTCCCACGAGCCTGCAATCCTACCTGTAGTATTTTACTAAATAGTAATGTTTTTTGTTATCTTTCAGCGACTCCTTGTAAAAAATTGGCAATCTTACATAGTTACATAGCTGAAAAGAGACTTGCGTCCATCAAGTTCAGCCTTTCTTACATATGTTTTTTCTGTTGATCCAAAAGAAGGCAAAAAACCTAGTCTGAAGCGCTTCCAATTTTGCCACAAACTAGAAAATTCCTTCTTGACCCCAAAATAGCAGTTAGATGTCTCCTTGGATCAAGCAGCTATTACCCCACTAATTAGAAATTATATCCCTGTATGTTATGTTTTTGCAAGTATTTATCCAATTGCAGTTTAAACATCTGTAATGACTCTGACAAAACCACCTCTTCAGGCAGAGAATTCCATATCCTTATTGCTCATTAACTCATTATTGTTTATTCTTGTGACCTATACTTGGGAACCTACTAGGTGACTATTAAGTGACTTTATCTTCCTCTGTGTTCAGTGCGGCCCAAGGAAGCCAAAAGGTTGGATGCCCATACCTTACATCTGAGGTTTAACTCATTTTAAAAACCAAACACCAGTGGCGTACATACCAGGGTCGCAGGGGTCGCGGCTGCGACCGGGCCCGGCCCACCAGGGGGCCCGGCCGCCCCTGCAACCCGGTATGTACCCACAGGGCCAGCCTCTTCTCCTGGGGGGCCCAGGCGGGCAGGCGGGCGCGCGAGGGAGCACTCAGTGCTTCCTCTTCAGCGCCCTCGCGCACCGCACTGATACCGGAGCCGGAAGATGACGTCATCTTCCGGCGCTGGCATCCCTACGCTGCGCGCGAGGGAGCTGAAGAGGAAGCACACCGGGGAAAGTGCTCCCTCGCGCGCCGGCTGCCCAGACAGCCCGCCCACCCAGTGACCTGCCGCCCAGGAGCCCAGCAGCACCACCACTGGACCCCAGGGAATCCCCTCAGCACTCCAAAAGGTAAGGAGGCTGGGGGGATTAAATTTGAAAAAAAAAAATGTGTTAGTGTATGTGTGTGTTAGTGTATGTGTGTGTTAGTGTATGTGTGTGTTAGTGTGTTAGTGTGTGTGTGTGTGTCAGTGAATGTGTCTGTTATTGGGTGTGTGTCTGCTAGTGAGTGTGTTACTGTGTGTGTCTGTTACTGAGTGTGTTTGATGTCTTTTAGTGAGTTTGTGTTTGTCAGTGAAAGTGTATGTTTTGTAAGTTAGTGTGTATGTATGTCTGTCGCTGAGTGTGTCTCTGTCAGTAAATGTGTGTGTCTGTTAGCTAGTGTGTATGCGTCTGTTCATGAGAGTGTGTGTGTGTGTCTTCAGCATTTACCTTTCTCCAGCGTCGGACTCCCCAGTGTCCGCCACTCAGCTCCGAAATGCACATGCACGGCAAGAGGCGCGCGCGCATTTAAACCGCCCATAGGAAAGCATTACTCAATGCTTTCCTATGGACGTTCAGTGTCCTCTCACTGTGATTTTCACAGTGAGAATCGCGGAAGCTCCTCTAGCAGCTGTCAATGAGACAGCCACCAGAGGCTGGATTAACCCTCAGTGAAACATAGCCGTTTCTCTGAAACGGCTATGTTTTCAGCTGCAGGGTTAAAACTAGAGGGACCTGGCAGCCAGACCACTTCATTGAGCTGATGTGATCTGGGTGTCTGTAGTGGTCCTTTAAGTGTGTGTGCATACCATGGTTGCGGGGTCGCAGCCCTGCAACCCCTGCGACCAGGTGCCCGCCACCATGTGTTGCGACCCCAACCCGTGCTGAGTAAGCGCGGGGGGGAGGGGGGGCCCACGGATCAATTTTTGCACCGGGGCCCCATGGGTCATGTGTACGCCACTGCCAAACACCCTTAATTGCTAAATTTACTCTAATGCTAAACTCAATAATTCTAAACACCCCCTTTATACCACGATGATAGCCTATCTCAGGATATTAATTGTCTTAACACTAAACAACCTATTTAATTTAACTCTGATGATAAAGGCACACTATAGGCATCAAGACCACTTAATCTCAATAAAATGGTCTTGGTGCCATGTCTCTCTCGCCTTGAAGGAATGCCTTTCTGAAGGAACAGCAATGTTTACATTACCAGCTTCAAATTCCTCTGGTAGCTGTCATATGGAGAGCCACTAGAGACGCATCCACATCAAGAGCCGAGTAAGCCACTGCCATTTCAATCAGATGGTCTCATAGAGACCAACTGATTGACGCAGTATGGCGGTTTAAACGCATATGCACTAGCCTCCCAATGTTTTCTAATGGGAAAGGATTGGATTGGCTGAGATCATCAAGACTGATGATCTAAGCCAATGAGGCAGAGCAACCAGAGAGAGAGCAGCACAGCATGGGAAAAAATGTAAAGTAATGAGGCTTTTAACCATTGAAGGTGTTGGTCACCTAAACTCTGGCAATGAAACTATAGTATTAAGAATACATATTTGTATTGCTAATGCTATAGTTTTCCTTTAACCACTTAAACAATCCCTCTCCTATAACAACTTATAGATCTATCTTTAACCTTGCATGCATTTACACAACTGCATACATTCACCATACTCACAGATTCAAACAATACATCACAAGGAAAAATCTGTACATACATATACAGTGATCAGCAACAACATTAAAACCACCTGCCTCATATCGTGGAGGTTCCCTTCATGATGCTTCAAGGCAAGGATTCCACAAGACCTCTGCATGTGTCCTGTGGTATCTGGCACCAGAACATTAGCAGCAGATCCTTTAACCCCTTAAGGACACATGACATGCGTGACATGTCATGATTCCCTTTTATTCCAAAAGTTTGGTCCTTAAGGGGTTAAAGGAACAATATAGGGTCAGGAAAACAAATATGTATTTCTGACCCTTTGGTGTTAAAATCACTATCTGCACCCCACACCCACCCTCCTAAATATAGTAAAATCTTACCTTATTTTCAGTGCCGTGCAGCTCCACTGTTGCAGGCTCCTCCCCAGTTCTGCCCACTTGGCTGACATCATCAGAAGTGATGATCTCAGCCAATCACAATGCTTTGTCATAGAAAAGCATTGGATTGGCTGAGATTGTCAATGATCTCAGCCAAGGAGGCTGTAACGGATCACCTGGCACCCCGACTGGGTAACTCCGTTGAAGGATGCTCCTAGTGCTTCCTGAGGACTACAAGCACTGCAGCAGACACCACAAACACCAAACCAGAGAAGCATACGAATGCTCTCAAGCATTTGAATGCTGTAAGCAGCTGAACAGGAAAAGCATACAATCAGCTTACACTCCTGGCAATCAGCATACAATCCAATTCCCCCAATAATGAGACAACACTTGGTTTTGAGGCTTTTATGCAGGTCTCCCACCTGGTGGACACTCCCCTAGGGACCAGATGGAAGACTGGGAAACATATTGGACATTGACCAATCACAAGTTTACAATCCCACAATGCATCACAATCCCTCCTCTCTCCTGGAGATAATTGGGAAGTAATCCAATTATCTCCATGGCAGACAAAGGACAATAAAAGACATAAAATTACATACTGTTACATTTATCACATAGACATTCTACCTATCCCCAGATAGCTTAGATCTGAGCGCACATTATTACCGGATGGCGCTCAGATCACATACATACAGTTCAATCGCCATGGAGCCAAAGTCTTTCATACAGTCTTT